GGTAGGGTACGGGACGGGAGGGAGGGAGGGGTAGGGAGGTAGGTAGGTGGTTAGGTAGGTGGGTGGGTAGGACGACTCGCGTCCTCCTCCCTCCTCTCTCTCTCTCTCTCTCTCTCTCTCTCTGAACAAATACTCTCTCTTCGATCGATCCTCTCTGAACAATACTCTCTCTCTCTCTCTCTCTCTCTCTCTCTCTCTCTCTCTTTCTTTCCGAAACAAATCGCTGTTGCAATGGCTCCTCTTCAGTGTCTGGGCACAAAAAGGAGTGGTGGAGACGGTGTCCAAGATGGGATAAGGGATTGGAGAAAGGATGGTAGTAGCCTTTGCAATAGATGAAGGGGTCCCGCCTAGCCCTTGTCTCTCTCGGTAGGGCTCGGCTCGGCTCGGCTCGGCTCGGCTCGGCACGTTTCAAACCGTGCCAAACGACAAATGAAAATATATATAAGAAAAAAAGAGGGGACACGGTTAGCAAGCCGTCAAGCCCGTACATGTACAAATGCGGCCTTGGCAAGAAATATAAATTTTTTAATATAATTTTATTTTAATTTTTAGAGAATATATAATTTTTAACCTGGAGATTATGGATATGAATAAATAAATAAAATTTGAAAACTAAAAATAATAATCATGTTAAAAAACATTTAGATCGTTAGTTACAATTGTTTTTAGATGGATCATGTATTTGCATTCATCTTTAAGATGGATGCTTTATACCTCTGGACTGTAGATCGTACAAATGTGGTCCAGGCAGGATGAAATAATTGTTCAAAAAGAAGGCTAGGACTGAGTATGGACTAGCCTTTGCTCAACCCTCTAGCTACTGTCGCCTAGACTTTATTATTTTAGGGCCGGGCTCGACTGGGCCTCCCGACTCATTGCCACTCCCGACTCATTGTTCCTTGACCATTTAAATGCCCTTACTCCCATTAAGGTTGACATTTATCCGCCTTTGTCCAAATTCCAACAAAGTCATGGCTCGCATTCCCATCAAGTAGGAATTAGGTTACGTTTGTATAAGGTTGCAACCTTCACCAATTAAATTAAGAGCACCTCCAAATTTTAGCATAAATATGATTTTGGTGAAAAAAGTTTTTATGATGGTTTGAGAATCTATTTCTATCTTTAATTATAAAAGTTTAAACTTAAAAAATAATTCAAATCAAGTAGATTTATAAACACATGAAACACATGAAAATCTTGAAAATAGATGGTCTAGATAATGTGTTGCAAGATAGACTATTTTTGAAATTCGAAATCTCTTTTAAAAAAATTATTGTTTGTATAAAAATAAACCTCAATATTTTCAAAACCTCATCTATACCCTTTTCACCGCTTTTCACAATTTTTTAACTAAAATGCCTTTCACATAAGTATTCAAGACGTGAAGGCATCACCGTGAGGATGGGGCATCATTAGAAGCATCACGATACTTAGGTAACCATGATGATCACCTTGACTATCACGGAACTCGTACTACCTAGACACCCTTCACGAAAATCTTTCACCCAATACAAATTGGCTTAGAACCCGCTATGACCATTATGGTTCTTTAAGTGTTGTGATGCTTCAAGTGACCATCACGGTTCTTTAAGTGTTGCAATCCTTCAAGTGATCATCACAGTTCTTTAAGTGATGTGATGCTTCAAGTGACTATCATGGTTTTTTAAATGTCCAGAAACCCATTACAGTTCTTTAAGTATTGTGATGCTTCAAAACTTGATCATCATGGTATTGGGTCGACCGTTATGCCTTTAAGGTTATTTTCCTCAATAAGACCCAAAGAGGGGAGTAGAGGGATATGGAAGAGGTTTTGGAAAATTAGGAGTTTAGTTTTAATAATCTAATATATAT